GTTGTCCCCGGGCCCTAGGGGCCGAGGACCCCGGCTGGAAGCTTCTAGGGAGATGTCTGGGCGGGACATTTTGTGATTCCCGTAGACTAGGCTACGCCTCCTGACTCCTGACCTAACGGGGGGCTCCCAGAAACTAACGCCCTGGTCTGAAAGGCAGGTGGGTAGAGCGTGGTAACCGTCACTGACTACGGGAAACCCGTGTGGTGTGGCAACATGGCTTCTCCCAGTCGGCCTCCCACTGCACCCTGGGCCGTCACCGGTCCCACACTGTCACTGAGCAGTGCTACTGTTCAGAATGGGGACACTTCCTTCTTTTCATCATTACTGTCCCCACACCCTTGTGATCAGGCAGGAAGGCAGCAGGAAGACCGATTTGCAGTAAGCCAGCATGGAGCCTGGGATTGTCGCATTCAGAGGCCCGGGCTCTGCAGGTGCCGCTAGGAAGGAAAGCATCCAGAACTGTGGGGCCATGGAGCTGGGGGTGGGCGCCGGGATGGTGGAGTGAGTCAGCAGGCCCCAGGAGGCCGGGGGACAGGACCCCAGGTGTGTGCGTGCACGTGAGTGCGTGGAGGGGGGAAGGGGCGGGGTCGGCCCGGGAGCTGATGGCAGATTGCCTGTGCTCACCCCACCGGCAGCAGGATGTGGAGAGCCCCACGCTGGCCAGGAAGGGTCCTGCAGAGGAAGTGTCTTCTCTGGGGGTGGGAGGAGTCCCCGGGCTCGGATCCTGGCCCCGAGCGCTGCTTCCTGGGCGGTGTCTCCTGTTCTGACAGAGCACTAAATTTGCCCTTGTTGCTGGAAGATGAAGAGAAAGAAGGGGAGGCCTTCTCGACGCCACCTTGTTGGGCCCCAGCGGCTCTAAGCGCCGCCACAGGGGACTGCCTTCTGTGGTGGGGTCCTGAGATGGGGCCAGCCCACCAGAGGCCGGTGGATGCCCCTAGGTCTGCCACCACCTGCCACGGGAAAAGCCGTTCTTGACCACTCTGGTCCTCAGAAATCCCCTTTGCCTTAGAATTCAAGAAAACGCTGGTCTTTATTGTGTTACCTATTTTAGAAATACGTAGACGTTGTTTAGATTCCTTTTTTTTTTTTTAAGATTTATCTAATTGAAAGAGAGCAAGCACAAGCAGGAGGAGGGGCAGAGGGACAAGCAGACTCCCCACTGAGCTCAGAGCCCTGGGGGGCGGGGGGAGGCTCCATTTCAGGACCCCGAGATCCCAAATCCAGAGGCAGACGTGCACCCGTGCAACTGACTGAACCACCCAGGCGCCTCTATGTAGATTTTTTTTTTTTTTAACGTAGCTCTTTTTCCTTCTGGTTCCCAAAGCACGTTTGTACTTCCTCGTGGTCAAAGACTTCAAGCATTTCAGAAACAATAAGGCAGCACGCATCTGCAGTGCAGTAGATCTGTGCAGAGAGTCTGCCTCCTGCTTTCCTGGGCTGGGGGGTTGGGGGGCAGTGCGGCTGGCAGCCCCGGCCCACTCAGCGTGGGGCTGGGCAGGACCACATGCACTACACCTGAGCTCTGTCCCGATCCTGACCTTTGAACCTCTCTGAGTTGAGCTTGTTATCTTGATGAACTGAGGGGTTGGGGAAGTTAATTTACTCATCTGAGATCACACAGGTAGGATGTGAGGAAGCTGGGGATGAAGCGTTTACTGTCCCGGAGCAGGTAAGCACCACACGTGCTGGTGTGATTCTCCCCGCGGGGGGCCTGGGGGGGGAGGTCCCTGGGAGGCGTAGCTGACTTTGCTGGACACACCTGTGTCTCCGAACTTGCCAGGCCCTCACCACTCTCTGGGCTCCAGCTTCCTCACCTGTAAACGAGATGATAAAAGTTGGAAGGCGGCTCCCAGGTCTCTGATCTCAGGGGTGTCTAGGGCTCCGGATGGGAGCAGGTGGTGGCCCGTCCTCCCACACACACACCTCGTGGGCCAGGAGCCCCAGAGCGCTTTCCCAGATGTGCAGCACGCCAGACCTGGGTGCTGGCTGTCAGCAGCCCGGCCGGGTGTCTAGGGAGCTGAGTGGAAGGGGCCTCTCACCTCTGGGGCTGCCCTGCTGTCCACGGGCGGTTCCCCGGGGGGTGGTGCGGTGTCCAGGGCAGGCTGGCCCCCTGCCACCATGCACTATGCCCACCTGCACAGATTCCGGAGCGTTTCCCAAATGCATTCAAGCATTCCCTCGTGCAGGTCTCGTGGACTGAGCTCTGGGCAGGAGACAGGAACCTAAGTTCTGTGTGGGGGCTAATGGTGGTGGATGTGGGTGGGGGGCCGGGGCTCATTCTTCGCCGTTTCTAACCAGGCCGTGCTTTCCTTGGCTGTAAAGGGTCATCTGGGGTGCTCCCAGCTCCCGGTGTGTTGGGTTTGTTCACGCAGCACTGGGCTAAGCACAGATGGGAGAGAAACGGTGCAGCAAACTACACCATACGAAGCGGAGTCCCCAGATACCTCGTGCAGAGCGGCATCCCCCAATAGCGCCATAGAGAATGAAGTCCTGGCTGGGTGTGGGGTGGGGCAGGGCGGCGGGGGGGGATGCTGAGCCCTTGGCGAGGTGGGGTTGGCGGCCAGGCTGGGGAGGGGGCCCCTTGTCTGGAAGGAGCTGAGCTGTGGCCCGGTGGTTGGGGTGCTGTGGGGGGTGCATCTTTTCTAGGCTCTAATCCCTTGATGGTGGCTGGTGGGAGGTGGGGGTGGGGGCAGGAGGAGGCCTGGAAGGGGCTGAGTGGACAGTTGTGGTGGAGGCTTCCCGTTTTGATATTCTGTTTGCTTTTAATTACACAAGTCAAATATTAATACTTTCCGTGGGATGGTGACATTGCGATCAGATAAGGCAACGTTCCCTCCCTAACCCTCCGAGCCTATCTCCCCCAGGTGCTTTGGAAGGAACACTCACTGGGGGCCGTGTCCCGTGCTGTCCCTCAGTTACTGTGGCCGCCGCTTGCGGGCGTTTGGGTGGCTTCTGGGTCTCTGGAGTCACACCATTGCTGTCCTCCCTGGTGAGCCTGTCTTGGGGATGGAAGCAGAGGAGCTTCCCGTTCTGTCCATGAGCCCATGAGGCTGAGAGCAGGTGGCTACCCTCGGCCCTGGGGGGAAGCCACCCACTCGGGGACGAGAGAGCTGCCCTGCACACTGGGGCCGCGGTCCCGGCCAGACCGGCCCCTGGGTGACGCCAGGGCACCCTCAGGCTGACGTGTGTGGCCTGCTTCCCTGCAGCCGTGTCGTGCGGACTTTGTCGAGTGGGGTGGGTCAATTTTTCTGGTGTGTTTTAATAACATAATTATAGGGAGTATTTTTAGGTTCCCCGTAACGGGCAGCTGTTTACCAGGCTCGATGTGCACGCTGTTTTTCTCCATAAGTATATATAGCCGGGGCCACTTCTCCTTCCTCGGGCTCCGGCTAAGGAGGGACCGGCCGCCTCAGTCACCTCCTGTGGTTTCCTTTGCCAGTGAAGGGCGGCCGCACGGGCCCTCAAGCCAGCTGGCTCCACAGCGGGACCGGGGCCTCCTGGTGGGGAGGAGCCGCCCTGCGCTGGGAGCCGCAGCTGGGTGAGGGGCACGTCCCTCAGGGTGCTCCCCGCCCGGCCAGCCCGGCCCCGCAGTGCCCAGGTGTGAGCTCGCTCGTTCCTCCCCAGCTCAGAAAACAGATTCCTCGGGACTGCGGGAGCGACCAGAGGCCAGATGGGGCGGTCCCTGGGCAGGTGGCCCCCCGAGGAGGAGCCTCGGCGGCCCGGGTCTCCATCTGTGGTCCGCCAGACCCAGCGGGGCCTGCGACTGTCGGCCTCTTGGCCTGTGCAGACATTCCCCAGCCCTATGCTCCTCGCGCATGTATGCCATTTCTCCTCGTGGTTGAAACACTCTCTAAACATGTCACCGTAACAACATGAAGGGGAGCCTTTTTTTTTCCCCCCAGGATTTACTCATTTGAGACAGAGAGACAGAGACGGTGCGCGTGCTGGCCAGGTGCAAGCACGCCGGGTGGGGGAGAAGCCGCTCCAGCAGACTCCCTGCTGAGCGCGGAGCCTCATCCCAGGACCCTGAGATCCCAACAGCCGAAACCAAAAGGCAGAGGCTTCACCGCCGGAGCCACCCAGGCGCCCCTAAAGGGAACTTCCAAGGGGAAAGGAAACAGGTCATTCCAGTGCCCCACTTAGCTGGTCTCTGCTTTTCCTTTCGTGCGTGCGGCGGCCTGAGACCTGGGTCCTCGGGCACTCCTGAGGGCCAGGCTCTGTGCTGGGGTGGGTCTGTGTCTTCTGGCTGGGGGTGCTCCCACGTGGTCCCCCAGAGGAGCAGGTCACCCCAGCTGCCTGAGGTCACCGTGCCAAGGTGCTGGGCTCCTCCCACAGGGTCGCCCGTGCACCCTCGTGATTTCAGTCTAGGCGCAGTTTCCGAGTGCAGATGCCCCAGGGCGGCAGCTGCCCAGCCCCTCCTGAGCTGCCCCCATGGCCAGGCCTCACTCCAGCCACCCCTCCAGCGACGGGCCACTCGGGCACAAACACCTGCACTGAGTCTCTGACCTGGCCTCGCCCCCCTCCCCCCCCCCCCCCCGCGCCCGGCCCCCCGGGAACAAACCCCCGCCCCGGGACATTTACTTGGCCCCCCCCCCCCCCCCCGCCACAAACTCTGTCATGTTCCCGGGTTTGGCCGTGCACGCTCATGCTCACACTCCTGCGCAGGGCTCCCATGGTAGCCAGTCCATGGGGTGAAGTGTCTCCCGTGGCTTCGGTCTGCATCACCCTGACACCAGATGATGCTCATCACCTTCAGTGTCTCCTCTTGTGTCTTTTAAAGTTACCTACATTGGGCGCCTGGGTGGCTCAGTCGGTTAAGCGACTGCCTTCGGCTCAGGTCATGATCCTGGAGTCCCGGGATCGAGTCCCACATCGGGCTCCCTGCTCAGCGGGGAGTCTGCTTCTCCCTCTGACCCTCCCCCCTCTCATGCTCTCTATCTCTCATTCTCTCTGTCAAATAAATAAAATCTTAAAAAAAAAAAGTTAGCTGCATAAAAATGTTGGGTTGCAGGTCTTCTTATTTTTGACTTGTGGGCATTCTTTTTGAGCCGAGATTCTAAGCTCTAAGCTAAAACATGCTACACATGTTTTCCTGCCTTTGGCTTTGCCGATTCGCACGCTTTTCTTACCGGCGTCTGAGAACCGGCGTTTGTAATCCCAAGTCCCCGGGGCTGCTGGCATGGCTGGGACTCGGGGCAGCCTGGCCTCCCTGGGGCTGCCTGTGGGCAGTAGTGCATTTCCTTCAGCTGCTGGAAAGTGATGCTGAAAGTGACCGTGCAGGCGTCTCCTGTGGTCCCTCCGGCTCGCAGCGAGCACCCCGGACTCTCCCTCAGGATAACGGCCCTGGAGTCACAGCTTGGAGTCCAGGACAGGGCAGCCTCAGAGCCTGCGGACGCTGCACCCGGCGTGCCCCGTTCCTTCCTCCAGCCCCTCCGCCCCGCCCCCACGAACTCCTAGTGCTCTCGGCACCTGCCTGGTCAGTGGGCTGCAGTCCTCGCCCAGGACAGCCCCATCTCCTGCTTCCTCTTCTGCCTCCTGGCCCAGCAGAGTCCTGTGGGTGGACGGGGCTGCATGAGCAGAGGCTCTGGAGACCTGTCAGAGGGGCACCGTTTGAGGCTGCCCTCTGATGCTCCGGGTGCCGGGGGTCACACCCACCCACTGGTTCCTGAGCCCCGTGCGGTGACACTTCCTGTCCTGCCTGAAGCCATGTCCCAGACCTTATCAGCGGGCACACATTGCCAGCCCAGGGGGAGGTGGCCAGGATGGGCCCTAATCTCGGAAGGTCAGGAGCAGGGGCTTGGCAGTGCGGAGGGATGTGGGGACCCTTGTGGGTGGGTGCGGCGATCCAGGGACGGTGCTTGGGGGCCCCATGGGCAGCGGGCACTGTGCTTGTTGCTCTGACCTTGGCAGGGTCACTCCTGCTTCACTGTCCTCATCCGGGCAGTGGGTGAGTGTGACCTCCCGAGAGTGATTCTAGCCAGCACGGAAGCAAAGCGTGGGAGCATTGTCTGGCCTGGAGGTGGTTCCACGCGGGATCCTGGACCCTGGGGGAGGGTGGTGAGCTGTGGGTCCCCTGTGCCTGAGGAAAGGGGGAGGATGCCAGGCCCCCCCTCCTGCAGATGCAGCACCCACCCATCAGTCCTGCCCTCTGAGATTGCAGGTGGAGACACCCTGGGCATGGGGGCCACCCTCAGTCCTCCCCGAGTGAGGCCAGGCTCACGCTTGTGGGGGCACCTGGAGAAGGGAGCCTGTGCTCCGCTCACCGGACCCCCCGCCCAGCCACTCCTGTCCTTGGAGGGAGGCCCCTCTTCTCCCTCCCCGTCTCCTCCGTTGCCCCTGAACTGAGTGTGCAAAGCTCATGGCCTGTGGTTCTCTGTCCTCCACGGGCGGAGGGCTCATTGTCTCCTCCGTCTGTTCCCCTAGGCTCCCTGTGTGAAGAGCAAGGGACAAGGATTGGAGGCTGAGTCACGTACAAGGGCCAGAGGGGGACACGCTCCTCTCAGGGCTCACTCTCCATCGAGGAGACCCTGGCCCTCCAGGCAGAGGGAGGAGTGATTGCTGCCTCCGGAGGAGGCCTGACAAGCTGTGGGCGGGACGGGTTGTACCACGTTCCAGAGCCTGAGACAGTCCAGGCATCCCGAAGGGCCAGGAGCCACTGTGCCCCCCTTTCTGTCTGCAGGGGCTGTTGGTGGCACGTGGAGGGGCTGCGGCCCTGTGGGGAGGGCAGGCCAAGGGGGCCGGCCAGGAGCAGGCGCGTCCTATCGGGTGGCCTCAGGAGCTCCCGCCTTTGCTCAGGGTTACTTGAGGATGTGAGTGGAGCTGCTGGGTCATCCCTCAGAGAAGGAGGCGGCCACGGGGGGCCCTGGGACCGCAGGGGCCTCGAGGTCCGGGCACGGCCTCCAGGGACACAGGGCCCGCAGTCTGTCCAGTGGTTACTGTAACTGGAGGCTGGTTTCCTTGTCAGGCTGTTGTTAGTGGTGGCGCCGGCCGGCGGCTGGGCTGCAGGAGCCCACGCGGCTGTCGGGGATGCCGGGCCATGGGACGTGTCCCCAGCTTCCTCACTGGCCGCTGTGCTAGGGTCGGGATTCCTGCCCGCTCTTCCCAGTTCTGACCACAGGTGTGGATGTCAGCCCTGGAGCCTCCAGGTATGGCCCGCAGGTCTTGGCATTGGAGGTTTGGTCATGCTGGTGGCCTTGTGGGGAGTGAAGCCTCCCACCAGGATGGCCCCAGGACAGCAGTGTGTCTGCCATGGTTTGTGGCACTTCTGTGGACCTGTGTCCTGCCGTGACCCCGCTGTGTGGCCCCACTGTGTGTGCAGGTGGAGAGTGGGGGACCTCAACTGACTTCTGCCCGGCCCTGAACGCTGTCCCTGGGGTCTCCTGGGTACAGCCGCACACCTGCCAGGCCGCCAGAGTCCTCAGACCCACGGTTTGTGAGGCCACATGTGGGAGGCAGCGGGAGGGAGAAGCACCCGCAGGAGCCTGTCCACGTAGGTCCCGTCGGCCCCGGCGCCCAGTCTGGCTCTGCTCCTGGGCGCCCTGGGACGAGTGACACAGCCTCTCTGAGCCGCGAATGCCCCGCCTTTGGAAGTGGGACATACCTGCCTGACGTGGCAGGTGGGCCCTGGGGCGTGGCTCCGGGGGCGCCGAGCCTGCCACGCCAGGCGCTCAGCACCAGCAGGTGCCCCTCTGTCTGGGGGCCTCCCTATGCCCCAGTTGCGAGCTGAGCACCTGCGCCGCTTGGCCTCATGGCCCTCGGGGTGACCCGCCAGGTGGCGTGGGCCGGGGGAACTCTGTGAAGTTGACCTGAGAGGCGAGCAGGGTGCCGCCTCCCGCGAGCCCTCACGGCCTCAGGCTGCGCGTTCACTGAGGACCCTGTGACTCACCCCGCCCCGCGGTCCCGCGGAGCCTGTGCTGGATGCAGTGCGTGCTGCAGAGCACTCTAATTAGGGAGCTGTCCACCGGGGCCTCCAAGCATGTCCGTGCTCTCACTGGGGAGGAATCTGGGGCAGCCTGGTGACGTCCCAGAGCCCAGGGGGCGGCTGGTGGGGTGCCGACGCCCAGCTTCAGGCCCCCGTGGGCAGGGACAATGGAACCTGCTGTGTCTGGCTGAGTCACGGGCTGTTGGGTGCTCCCATGGGACAGCAGCAAGGACATGTCGTGGCTGACCTTGTGGCTGGTGGCTGGAGGAGGGTCCTTCCCAGCCCAGGGTGCGTGTGGCCCAGAGAGGGAGGGGGTGGTCGGGGCAGGCATGTGTCTGTCGCACATAGAGCCCTTGCTTGGGGTGGTGGGCGCCCCTGCTGACCCTCCCAGAAGGAGGACGCCTGGCCGGTACACTGGGGGGACCATTACCGGCTCGGCTGGGAAGCTCCAGGGCAGAGGGCTTGGCCTCTCGAGACCACTCCCTGCTCTCAGGATGGGGTTCAGAGTTGGTGATGGGAGGACAGACAGCAGCGCCCCGTGTGGCTATATGCAGCCCCCACCCCCACCCCCTGCGTCCCCACCATCCTCATGTGTCCTCCGAGGTACCAGTCGAAGAATCAGCTCGAAGAGGACCAGCGAGTTCCAGGTCCCAAGGCTGGGGAGAATAGTGCCTGGACGTTGGCTCTGGGGCCCTGTGGCTGGTCAGGAGTGTGGTCTGGGGTGACAGCAGGGCACCGGGGGCCAGGGCATGGTTCGGTGGGGATGGGGGGCAGGCTGTGCCCATGGCAGGTGCCTGTCCAGCTCTCGCAGGGCCCGACCGGACCCAGGCTGCGAGGATGGAATTGTGTGCATGTGGCCAGCAGAGTCGGCGGGGGAGGGGAGGGGAGGGACCCCCGCTGCCGGACATCGTGTCTGCTTATGGGTGGGGAATGTCCCGGGCCTCGGGGGCCTCCGTGGTGGGAAGGACACCGTGGGGGAGGCGCGGAGAGGTTTCTGCAGGCCTGCCCGGCCCCCATCCCTGGCTTCCTGGGACCTCCCACTCCGGTCCTCCGTGGTCTCTCGCCATTGGCTGCAGCTGCTGGAGGAGATGCACTTGAGCCTCTTCTGTGTGTTAGCGGGGACTGCGGGACGCAGCAGCCTGGGGCAGGGCTGGCCCGATGCCCTAGAGACCTCGCCCCTCTCGCCATCCAGAGCCTGCAGGGGCCCAGGCTCAGCCCTGACCTTTAGGAGCAGGAGGGGCCTGGGGGAGTGGTCAGGCGTTGGACAGCCAGCCGAGTGTCCCGGGCCTGCCGTCGCTGTCAGGTGGGAGCTCAGGCCCCAGGGGTGTCAGCAAGCACGCTTCCTGTTCACAAATCTGGACTGGTAGCGTAGCAGGGTGGCTGTGGCCCTCAGCGGCCTCCCAGGTGGGTGGGTGGGGCTGGCACCCCCATCGTACCGCGTGCGGACTTAGAGCTGGGCTTCCGGCCACGCTGGTCTGACTCTCAAGCCCTGGCCCGAGGCCGCCAGGTCAGGGGCAGGTCCTCGAAGGCTGTGGTAGCTCTGGCACTTGCTGACCTGCCCGTTGAGGGTGACAGCTACCCCTGGACCACTGTCCTGGAGCAGGGTCCCGCTGAGGTTGGGGGTGGACACGAGCCGGCCAGTTCCTCCCTGTTGGGAAGGGCCCGTCATCCCCAGGCCTCCCCTGGGACGGAGGCTCCGACCCTCGGAAGTGGATCTGGCCGAGGGCAGCTGTCTCCAGCACGCCAGGCCGAGTGAGGCGCCCCTTCTCCGTGGCCTCTCAGGACCGCCTTGGGTGTCTGCTGTGTGGGTAGGAATTAGATTAGTTTCCATAAAAACAGGATGCGGTGGGTGAACCGGCAGCGTGTCCCTCTTTTTCCAGGAACCGAATGTATAGCTTGGGCCAGGCCAGCCCTGTCCTCACCCGTCATCTCCCCCAGGCTGTGGGGCCGCGCTCTGTTCTCTCTGAGCGGCTGCTCCATCGTTCTCTCGTCCGGGGCGTGTGCTGCGTGTGGCCTCGGCCCTGCCCAGCGACCGCACAGAGCTCCAGGCTCCGGTCCCGCTCTGCAGACCTCGGTCCGGAGGGTCTGTTGGACTCAGGAGGCGGCGGGGAGCTGGGCAGGGGGCACGCCGGTCACACATGCCTTGGGGCAGGGGCCTGAGCTGCCCATGGTTAGGCCGGGAGAGGCTGGTCCGGCCTGGGCGCTGTCACTCGCTGGCCCAGCCGCCTTGGTCTGTCACTTCCTGTCCACGGGCTGGCCACGGCAGGGCCTCCCTCCACCAAGCCTCGTGTTAGGAGTGCGGCTCGGCCACAGTGCTCGGTGCTTGGCGGGGATCTGAGATATGGGGTGGGGGTGGGGCTTCCCCTCCCCTCTGCAGGCTTGGGCTTCCCGCCTCGGGAAGCAGCAGGGCAGGGCTGCCCGGGCCTCTGTCCCCCGCTCAGTGGCCAGCTAGGGCCTCGGGCTTCTGGTCTCTCAGGAATCCCGGCGTGGCCGCGATGGGCTTACAGGGCCTGGCCCCATGGCCAGCCTGCTGTGAGGCTCCTTTTCCTTCCCACACAGACCACAGCTGCAGGCCCGGAATGCCCTCTTGGAAGTGACCCCGGATGGAATTCCGGAGCTCAGAAGTGGCTCTTTCTGTGAGGATATCCTGAAATCCAAGAGTGTTTCTCCGAGAGGAGGGAGAGTGACTGAGGGAGATGAGCCGAGGGCAGCTTGCTCAGCACC